GGGATGGGATGCAGGTGTGGAGTTAGCAGCCACGCCCACGGGAGTGGGCATCCCATCAGCACCTCGGACGCCGGGCCGCGGACCATGACAGTATCGACTACATCTGTTCCTTCAGATTTCTGAGAGTAGAGAACAGCAGCAAATAGTTTTCTCCAGAAAAAACTTTTCAACAGTTCCAGGTGACTGATTTGTGAGAGACAGATGTTTCATCCAATTACCTGCTGACCATAGTGACGCAGTGCTCAGTAGTTTTCAGTCAGTTTCCAAGAAAGAGTTCAGATGTGCCTCTGTCAAGCAGTCCATCTGCTGTCAGGTTACCAATTCTGTGGGTATTCCCAAAAGACGGCTCAAACCATCTGAAGAAAAAGCAAAGATGTCCATCATCTTCATTCTTTATTTTTGAATTCAGAAACTTCAGTGTGAGTCACATCAGTCACAACTTTATTTTTACATAATTAATTTTTATTCTTGTAAGCTTCTCTACGCTCCACACATGCTTCACTGCACGATGACTGCGTGAACGGCTGTAGAGCTGAAACAAGAAGTGGAATGATGTCACAGTAGCTTGTTTAAGCCTTAAATTGTTTATATTCCAGAAGATCAGGTACACCAAAGCTGCTGTCAACAGTTGTTTTCTGTGCTCCTGTGGACTGAAACTGCTGCTGAATTGCTCTGAATGTTCTCGGAAGCGTGATATGTAGATTGCTTTGTAATCAGCCATGTTTGTTTTCTGTCTGATTTAAATGAGCTGCAGTGATGATAAGTTTCCAGAATGATCCGGATCCAGCTCTTTTCCTGTTTGAGTGTGTGACTCAGTGCTGCAGGCCTGGCTTCTCTGTAGCGCTCTGTTTCTTTTGTCTGTCGTCCTCGCTTCATTTTAGACGTGTGAACACGGCGTTCTCTGACAAACAGAAACCTTTGGCGGTAAAGCTCCAATAAAATTAGAAACATGAGAAAGGATGACAGTCGGGTTCGGCTCAGCGTGGAAGTCCCATAAAGGAAAAAATTACTGGGGATAAGATCGAGAAGAGAAAATAACTGTCATATAGGAGCTTTTTTTACTGTTCCCACAACAAATTCTCACATTAAATTTCTCTTTCATTCTTGAAACAACACAATGTTCAAAAAGGAGACAAATGATCATGCTTTTTTT